GTTGCGACTGCTCCGGCGCGCCAGTGAAATCGAGCTGCCGCGCCAGCTTCTTCGCCGGAACTTCCAACGACGACGCTGCCGTTTCCGCCGGAGCAACAACTTGCGGCAGCGACAACGACGCATTCTTCGGAGCGCAATCGCCTCCTTCGCCTTCTCCCATGGCACACGAAACAAAATCCGGAAACTCTCACCGCGAATTCCGCCGAAGCCGACCTGCGATTGCGGCTATTCGGATAAGGGAAGTGGCGATGGTTTCGAAACGCAGCTCGAATTCGAGCACAGCTGGAGGATTGCGCAGCTCGGCGAGTGTGGCAAAATTGAGAGGCGCGTGGATCGAAACGCGGCGCGCAAGGAGATGGAGGTGAAGAGAGAGAAAGCGAGGGAGGGTTTGGAGATTGTATAGAGAGAAAGAGAAGAAGAAGAAGAAGAAGAGTGAGATTTGGAGAAGAAGAATAAGAGGAAGAAGAAGAAGAAGAAGAAGAAGAAGAAGAAGAAGAGAAGCAGAAGAAGAAAACACACCACACTCCCTCTCTCTTCGAAGCTTTTGAAAATTCAATTTACTTGTAAATATTGAACGGCCAGATCGCGTTTCCAATTTCATCGTGCGCTCCACAATGCACCAGATCAATCCCACGGTCACAATTCATTGAAGGGACTCCACGACTGAGTACCATGCCTTCTACTGTATTTTTATTTTTCCTATAGAAATACTATACTAGTAATACATTTTTAACATAATTTTTAATGCAGAAAAAAAATTTAATAAATCTTTTGTTATATATTAAAATTATATATATATAAAATTAATCTTGTTTTCCTTTATCAATTTTTTAACGTTTTTATATTTGTTAATAAATTTTAATTTATAATAAAGAATGTGTTGGAAAAAGTATATTAAAAATGCTTTGTTAGTTTTATCTTTTTATTTTTAATGTCTAAGATCCTTTCATAAATTTTGATAATAAAATTATTATTTTAACAGTATATTTTAAGGTACATATTTTAGGACAATGAAAAATATATTTAAGAAACGAATAATCATAAATTATTTTACAATATTATCCTACAAATCTTTATATAGTAAGTATTTAATATGTTCAAGAAAATATGATAGTATTAAATGTTTTATTTTATATTTTAAGATATTAAATACATTTATTCTTTCATTTAATGTGTGTCACTTTAATAAATCTTTAAATGGACATTTTATCAGTTAAATTAGTTCTTTATTTTCCTAATATAAAATAAAGTGGTTTAGTCTATAATTTTTTTTAAAGATTTTTTTTTAACTCAGTATCTTTTACCATATGAAAAAATATTGATACCATTTCTTGATGAATTAATTTTTCAAATAATTTAAATAATTAATATAATATTAAAAAATATATATATTTAATTAATTTTTTAAAATAAAAAATGAGTCTTATCGATTAATTGTTATTATATAATATTTTATTTATAGAAATTATAATAGTAGCGACATAATTCAAACATAAACTATCTACATATTATTTCAATTTTGATCATTATATTATTAAATATATAAGTAAAAAAAAAAAAAAGAGATATTTCGTATTTTTATATATTTATTTTTTAAAATTTTTTTGAAAGAAGATGATTGTTAAATCTAGAAGTAGTAATGTCTAATACAAAAATAAAAACTAAAAAAATAATTATCAAAATATCTCTCTTTTATAATAGGCATAAATATATAAGTCTTAACTCTTAAATTAACATTTTAATTTGTATAATATATAAAATGAATGTTTATTTTATATAATAAAAATTTATAATAACGAAAGAGTTTTAAATATATAAACTATATTATATTTTATTGGTTTTATTTTAAAACCAACATTTAATCAGTTAAATTAATTCTTTAATGTCTATACTTTTTTTAAAAAAAATTTAAAACTCAAGTATCTTTTTCTGTTTAAAATAACAAAAACTTAATTATCTTTTACCATATGATAAAAATATTGATATAAATTACTGAGGTTTTTTTTTCAAAGAATTTATATAACTAATAAAATATTAAACTATATGTTTTAATTACTTTTTAAATAAACAAATAACTCTTATGATAATCTTTTCTTATATAAATCTAATTCTTTATTCTTAAACTAGCATTTTAGTCATGTATAATGTATAATATGAATTTTTATCTTATATAAATAAAATTTATAATTAATAAATAAATTTAAATATATAAATTATATTATATTATAATGTTTTATTAAATAATTTTTTAAAACATATAAGATTTACTTTTAATTTATGGTAAATAATTTATATTATCATATAAAATTATCTTAAACTATTAATATTTCATTTAAAAAATAATGAAATTAAATTTAGAATTAAAAAATGATAGATTGAAAACGACAAAAAAACATTAAAAAAAATCTTAAAATTACCCTTCTTAAAGAAATTTCTAAAATTATATCATTGAAGGTTAATTTTTAAAATATTTTTATTTAATGTAATTGTTCTATTTTATGTAAAAATAGAGATTTTTAAGGACATGTTCACTTGTATTTTCTAATTTCCTAATAGGCAGTCCATTATTACTAATTAAATTCTTATATTCTTAATTGATTTTATGCTTAATTATATTTTTATTTTTCTTTCACGACTAAGGGGCAATGTCAGTCCTTCAATAAATCTTGTTTGAATTTAATTTATCAAGTGTATATTTGTTACATTAAAATCCTTTTGTCTCGTATTATTTACTTAAAGTATTATATTTCACATGTCTTTTTTTTTTTTATTAATCATTTTCATCTCATAGATATTTTAAAAATAAATAAGAATTATTTTATCCTTTTACATTAAAAAAAATATTTCAACTGATGTTTTAATTGTTTTTAAACTTTATACCACTTACTTTCTATTTTTTTTAGTATTATTTCATCTTATTCTAAAACAATTGATGTTTTAAAATTTACCATTATTTAATTTCACACCACTAGTAGTACAAATATCAAAGATTATTGTAATAAACAAAGACATTTTAGTTCAAATACAATATTTTACTTCAATTAACTAAGATTTTTTTTAAGTAAATAATGATGAATAACCATGAAGAAGAATAAAAAGGAACCAATTACAATCTCAAGAAAGCACCTCCCCTAGCATTGGCTAGAAGTAGAAAGTACAATTCAGTTGATGTTGATTTCAGCAGTTCTAATAACACAGTATGAGAATTTGGACCAAATTTTGCTATAAAATCAGCACAAACAATACCATCTTTCAATAGAATAGTTCAAGGATTACCTTTAAGCTCCTTAATAACGCTTATGATTGTTCCATATCTATGAAAAAATGAGCAACATTATACATACAATTAAAGATAACGCATATATTCAAGCACAATTTGTAACCCGAACAACAAAACAAAGAATTTTTAATTAAGAAAACTTAAATCCATCGATAATATAATGTTTTGATACTAAATTTCATTCCTACATATATTTTTTTTACTTCTATTAAATATTTTTTAATTTATGTATATTAACATCTAAAATATATGAGAAAGTTGGTAGTAATAGTTTTTAGGTTTAAATATGTTTTTAGTCCCTCAAATTTAAGATAAATTTATTTTTGATCTTTCAAATTTAAAATTATTGTTTTTAGTCCTTGTAATTTCAAAAAATCTTATTTTAGTCCTTATATTCAAATTTTGTTAAAAAATTTATCAAACATTATTACATAAAATCTACCTATTGATATCTCTATTAGTGAAAACATCAAATCATAATCATCTTAATTTGTCATTTTTAGATATATTATTGGTGATCTAAGGGACTAAAACAAAAAAAAAAAAATTACAAGATAAAAAACTATTTTAAATTTGAAGGACCAAAAATAAATTTATTTTAAATTTGAGGGACTAAAAATATATTTAAGCCTAGTTTTTAACTCTAAATACCAGTTTCTCACATTCACAATTTTTTTTTTCAAATATGTTATTTACTCTGATAAAATAAAATAAGTTAGTTTTTACTTAATTTTTGAATTGATTATATTTATTATTTTAAATATTCATATTTATTTTTATAAGTTACTTAAATAGAAACAATTGTATATTAAACGATGTATTTCGAGAAAATATATTTTTTTTATAAAAAAAAACTTTAAACTGGCTTCTATAATGAATGTCTTATAAAATTTATGGCTAATTTATATAATTCTTTGTTCAAATAGTATTTATTTTCTCATGTGAAGGATTATCCGGTGTGACAAGCACCACAGTAGGTAGAAAGTTCCGTAGAGACGCGACGTGTGGTTTGGCATAATGGAGTCATAGTTGCTGACTACGTGGAGGCTTCTGATTGGGTGGCGTCGAATAATTGAAAAACGCACGGGTTGAAAACAAGGGATTCTTTTTTTATTATTATTATTTTGATATTTTCTTTTTTTCGGGGTTAAATAATTTTTTTTAAGATTCTCTTGCTCCGTTAGAAGTGAAAATAAAAACAAGTTGACACTAAAATAAAGGGATCCAATGAAGTTGTTGGCTTAGAACTTAGAAGAGTAAACCTAAACAACAGTTAGGTTAGGTTTGCATAGGAGGGAATCATGGTTCATCACTATCACTCATGCATTCAAATGAAATTTAAATCATATATATATACCTTAGAATAGTTCCATATATACTCTTTGTTATTATCTGAACACCCATTTATTATTATATTCCCTTATCAAGATGTTATATCAATCATTCATAAATAAAAAAAATATTCACTAGTTTTATATTTTACTCTCAATGGTTCACTAGTATGGTAGTAAAAAATTCATTACTACATGTGATATTAGATATTTTTTTAAAAAAATATTTTTAATTCTTCAAAGGATATATTTAATTTTAGTTCTTTAAATTTATAACAGTTTATTTTATCTAGATTTTTTTTTTCCAAATTTAAAATATTGTCTCAAACTTATTCTGAAAATAACTCCAAGCGTGTGGTTTAGCGGTAGAGGTTGATCCACGCTTAGGGATGGCAACGGGGCGGGGCGGGTACGGGTTTTATGATACCCGTCCCCGTCCCCGCGAGTCAAATCCATCCCCATCCCCGTCCCCGTACCCGCCGGGTATGTGGTTTTCATCCCCATCCCCGTCCCCGTCGGGTATCGGGTATACCCGTACCCGTCAATTTTTTTTATTTTTTATTTTTTGTAAAAAAATAATATTTTTAAATTATTTTTTTTATTATATTATAATTATAATTAAGTTATTTTTCTATCTCATATTATAATAAATAATCACACATAAAAAATATTAATTTTTTTTTAATATAATTAAATTAAAAGTGAGTATTAAATTAAAAATGGAAACGGGGACGGGTACGGGTACGGGTACGGGGCGGGTAAGTACATACCCGTACTCGTACCCGTACCCGATTTAATATATCGGGTTTTACCCGTACCCGTACCCGTACCCGGTCAAACCGGGTATTCCCCGTCAAAGTCGGGACGAGTTCGGGTATTACCCGCGGGTACGGGTATATTTGCCATCCCTATCCACGCTTAAGCAAGGTCAGAGGTTCAAATCCTGCCTTGTGTATGCAGCCGCGTTAAATCTTGGGGTCAGCTATCCCACCCTTGAGGTGCCTCCCTCGTAGCGAGAAAATTAGTCACCACTATCGGCCCTGGTTACTCCAGGGACGAACAAAAAAAAAACTTATTCTAAAAATAATATTTGTACTAAAAAAAATCTTAAAACTTCAAAATAATCTCTCCCAAACATATTACTTCTTAAAATTCGGATCATTAGATTATAATTTTAATTGTTTTCCCCCTTCAAATAATTTTCTCAAATTCCGACCCTATGTGCATATATCTATCATTTTATTTATATATAGGGCAAAGTGTTGTTTTTAACAGAGAATTTATTGTGCCATAAGAAGGTATTTCAAAGATGAATTTTAATTTGTCATACTCCTCTCAACCACATGAATTACAACATGCCCTCTACGAATCTGAAGTAATATAATTTCTCATGTTTAAGAGATCAAGGCATTGAATAATAACACTGTCTACATTTAAAACTAGTCATTAGGAACCTACCCTACACTATGAGCCTAACATTGTAATTTCCAACACAAACTAAAAATTTGAGGTTCAAGAAACCAAACTAACTTGAATTTAAGTTGATGCTGTGTAAGCTTCTATAAACAAAGTCTTTCTTCATCTTCGTGAGTAGTAACCACATTAGGCTCTTCCTAATGCCTTATGTCTAAGGATATTTTTAGGAGGGACACAATAATATATAACAGCCATCATTTGATAATGCAACAGCTTTTGGGACATTTTCTATTCAAGTTAACAAGGGTTACATTAATAGCAACGTTCCATTGTAATAAATTTTGATAATGCAGACAGCAGTGTACTACAGTGTAGAATGAATCATAATGGTGGTTGCAAAATGACACTGAATAACTTGAAAGAGTGATTTGAGTGGTGACCAAACATTTAATTCGTGGAGAATGTAAAATGAGCCACACCCAATTTCATATTTTCGATGCATATTTGGTTTATTTTTTGGACGTAATTAGTCATGAAAAAATATGAATTAAGAAGATAAATATGATAACCACCATTATAACTCAGAAAGGCATTTAGGTGTTAGAAACAAACAATGTTTCAAGGTTTTTCTCCACATAAAAAAGCAAAGAGAAAAACAAGACTAGGACAAACACTAGACTAGTTGCCAACATAAAGAACATGGTCCCGAAATCTAATCGGCAATGGCATAGAAAAGTAGCAGAAAGGAAACGTAATATTAATTTTTTTGACGAAATCTTTTATGCAATTTGCGTGTGGAAGGCAAACTATATTAGCTAATTCTGTTATATGGTGTCTGTCATTCATTTCAGTAATGAATGAAAACATGAGTAGGAGCAATGCAAAGTATACAATTTAGAAGAAATTAAGAAATGATATATATATTCTTAATATTCTTCTGCTTTATGTTTCGAGCAAAGTATTCTTCTATTTTCTCCCAAGGACAGAGTTTTGGACAAACAAAAATTATTTTTTAATTATAATATTAATACAAAATATTTACTGTAAAATATAGTAACTTCTGTCAATAATTATAAACGTACATAGGGTAATATTCTAGTCCCAAATAAAATATTACTAGTTTTAAGAGTAAAGAGACAAACTTCGAAAGGTAAATAAATAATAAATAAATTTTAAAAAACAAATAACTACTTTTCGAAAGGCTTATATGCCTTGTATAAAGTAACATGTCTGATGTCATCATCACATGGCATGCTGAGATAGCAATTAATAGTTTCTGGTAACGGCGTGCACAAATGTCCAAAATTTAAATATTATATGAATTATTTTGAAAAATTAAAAGACTAAACAAAGCGAATATATTATAAGATAACAAAACATGGTGTTAATAAGAAGAAGTGTGTGTTTGGTTTAAATTTTTAACGTGATTTATGATGTTAAAATAAAAATTATTAATTATAACTTTTATATTTTAAATATAATTTTTACTTTGATTCACATTTTCAACGTATTATCATACGTCAAAAGTAAATGGAAGTAAGAATTAGTAATTCTTAAACTAGTTTAGTGGTCCAAATAATGTTTGATCTAATTCCTTGGCTCTAGAAAAACAAATGGCAGGGAATAGACGAATAATTGCCACTTGCCAGAATATGGGATGCAATGATATTAGTGAGCGTTTGTTGGTCAATATAATGTGAAAATAAGGTAAGTTAAGCGTCGGAAATAAGATAAGTTTTAATCTTATTTAATATTTAGTATAAATCATAATAACAAATCAAATAACCTTATTATATTTAATATAAACCAATATCATATAACATAAATTATTATTCTATTAGAATTACATATAATTTTTCTAAATTAAGTTTCAATTTAATTATTTAAAATTTTAAAATTAAAAACATAATTTAATATAAATATTTTTATGTACATAGTTATTTTTTTGCCAAAATTATAATTATTATTCAAATATTTTCTTTAAAAATATTTAAATAATAATTTTTCAATTTTAATATTTTAAATAATAATAATTTACTTTAAACTTAAATGTCAAAATTATTATAATTATATAAAAATAAAATGTTGAAAGCATATTTTATAATGTTTATATATTTTTTATAACATTATATATAATAATATATACGTTATAATATATAATATTATATTATATTTAGGGATGACAGATAAATTCATTTATCCATTATCTATTAAATATATCCATATGTAAATTTATCCAATTTATCTATTTCAATAAAAATAAATAATAGATCAAATTCAATGCATCTTTTTAATTTTATTATGAAATGTTTATTAGATTGATATTTTAAAAGACTATTTTGACATAAAAAATTATTATTAATTATAAAAAGAATTATATAAGAATGTAATAATTTGTAAATAAAAAAATTCGAAAATAAAAATTATTTAATTTTAAAACATTATTTTTATGGATGGATTGAATATTAATGGATAATTTTTTTTGTTTTGTTTTAAGTGAATTGTATTTTTATGCAAATTATAAATAGATCTAAATAAATTAATAAAATATTTTTATCTGATCTATTATAATTTGCTTAAAAAATTATTCAATCCATCCATTAATCACTCCTATATTATATATAAATTAATATTTTAATATTATATATATATATATATTATTTTGTATGATATAATATATGGGATAATGTATATAGAAAAAAGAGAGAAATTTTTTTATATCTTATTGCTTCCTAACTTAGCTTACTCTTCAGAAAAGAAAAAAAAAAACACTACACCAACAAAATAAATAAGAGACAGTATAATATTATCATATCTTGTTGATGCAAGAAAAAACAAAATATAATTGAATAGGATAATTATCCTATCTTATCCTATTGTATTCTGACCATCACACAGACCTTCATAATTTATTGAGAATCACAAGTATTTTAAACAATTAATAGATGGTTAATAATCAAATACCTATTCAATCTCCTCATCATTCTCGAGCTATAAGCAATTATTGAGTCCATAAATATTAGAAGTGTGAACTTTCTTAAGCTTCCACGTCTATCTACATGAATTTGACCGTGTAATAGAGCTTAGTTATAGATAAGGAGTTCACAACCAAAAAGTGAACATGCATTCGTTATAAAACTTGTTAACTGTCTTATAAAACTTACATTCCTTAAGAGAAACCTCCAACTAGGTCACGGAAGAGCCTCTAACCAAAAAACTCTAATTTTTGGTAAATAGTCTCCAAACCTCTTCTAAACTTGTATTTGAGTAGACTTTTTACATATGTTGTTTGATTACTTTTGCAAATTCTATACCCTATTATTAATGATGTAATCTTTGCACATTTTCATATCCATTGGCCTAAGATCTAGCACCCTTCCGAGTCAATCTGTGCGAGAGTCGGAATAGGAAGTTGAACTTTGTTTGGTAAGAGAAGCAGATTGTGGTTGTTGGGTGGCCACAGCTAGCATATCATTCCATTTTGATGTGTCCCTTTTGGTTGACTTGAAATTTGCTGGAGTCAGGGATGATTACAACTTCTCTCATTTTTCAACAACGAAAACATTCTCGCAAATTGCAGTCATGATCTTTAGTCTCGTGTCACTATTTGGTTATAAGAATGAGGTATGACCTCCCCCAAGCGGTATTTTTGGCTTAAATTCCACATGCACCATCAAGAAGGGGCAGTGCTTGAAATGAACACTCTGAAATAATAAGCAATGCAAAATCAGGTCCCAAAAGACGAGTGCTGACAACAGAGCAAAAAATTACAAATAGGAAGAATACAAATATTAGAGGATGTCTTCTGATTATTTGGTGACACTAGTTAAGGATAATCAATATTCAGGGAGTTCCATTTGTTGGAAGGTTCCACATATCTGTCTCAATTCTTGGGATACAACTTATATATCTATCGAGTAACTTCACTTAGGGAGCATTTGGTACACAATGTTTTTACTTTCTCAAGAATCTGATGATGAAAACGTTCCGCATTTGGTTTGTTAACATTGCTAGGAAATATTGCTTCCAATGAATGGTTTTTGTATAGGTTTTCCACAAAATTATTCTCACAGAGAAGGTGCAAAACTTACCTTCCCGAGGTATACAGTAAAAACATCATGTTACTTTTATTTGCTTATTTAATTTAGTAAAAATGCTTGATTACCAAACAGATTTTCATGATTCTTAAGAATCATAATTCCCAAAATTTATGATTCCCATGGATCATGCTTTCTAGGTATGAAAAAATTTGTCATGTACCAAATACTCCCTTAAAAGAACGTTTGGTACATGACACTCCCTGAATATTGACATTCCTAATGTCAGATTCACAGAAAAGTAAAAACTTCTCATGTACCAAACACTCCCTTAATGTCAATTAGTTTTAAGATGGGATCTAACATCATCATGTGTAAATGTTTCCTTTGGTAAAGGAATTCAAACAACTGTTGTTAAAACAAGGCAAATAGAAATAGTAAATTTGTCATCACTATGAATGCATTGCAGTGAGAAAGGTCAGCTTACTGGAATGCTTAGTAATTGCCCGTGATGATTGATCAGAACAGGCAGGCTTCTCCTTGCGCGACCTGGGATAGATTTTAACAAGCGCAGAGCTTGTTTTGCTGATACACTGGCATAGTGCAAACATGGAGTTGTTCTGTCCATTATCTGCTTGGTTCCATTCACTGATTTAACCTCACATTGAAGGAAATTTTTGGAAAGAGGATATTTTGATAACTCGGTGAGATACAGCCAATCAGATTCAACCATGTGCCGCAACTCAGGTGCTTTATTATGATCAGCTACACAAGATGTGCAACAAAAGCTCCAGTCTTTCTCGCTGAAATCCATGTTGTAATCAACTAAATCAGAAACTACATCATTATCAATTTTATTGTTCAACTTCCACGTGAGGATGAATCTATCCATGAAGTAACAGAACTGTCCTGGCTGAAGTGATTTGCCAACAGGCGTAACAAATTCAACTCCATGCTTTGAACCAGAGTCAGAAATGGCCTCGGTTTTAGACCTGAAGTGAGTGTTTTCTTGCTTTTGCAATACAAGGATGCTATTGTAAGTTGATTCACCAATTATGTTTAGCCTTTTGGCTTCAGTCAAAACTAACTCAGGATTCACATCCAAAAAATGGACATCTGTTGCATTTGGAACCAAGTGATTTGCGTATGAGTTCTCATCCTCTATACTATTTTCTAACTCATTGGCAACAAAATTCCCTTGTTGTCCATAAGGGTGCGACTCAAAAAATTCCATCTTCAAAGGCAAACCACAGTCATCATTACAGCAGCAGACCAAGACTTTGGAGCCTCTAGAACCAGGATCTGGACAAAGGTAACAACCTGCTGCTGTTATAGAGCTCTGCAGGATAATTGAGGACAAAATGAAAAGTTAAAAATGTTGAAATTAATCAAATATTTAAAGCTAAAATACTGATGTGTCCAAAAAATACTATAGTCAGAGTTAATCCCTTATAGACTTATAGTTACATGCAGTAAAGGCAATATTAGATAAACTTCTATACTTTTGTTACTAACACAGCAATTAGATGGAAGAAGATTTACCTTGCACGGAAAAATACGAATATAGTCCATTAGCAATTTTAAAGCACTACCTCTGATTTGCCTTTGCCTTTGTGATACAAACTGAAACAATTTGACAGCTTTTACAAGAGTATTCACATACAAAAAAAGTTCAAAAGGAAAATTGTCGTATATAAGATCAGAAGTACCTGCAAGACCATGGAAAGAAACTTCATCAAGCATATGTCCTCAATTTTTGAAGGACAAAGAATCTGTAAATCAATAACAGCATATCCATGCTGCCAACAAAAACCAGGCCATAATCCCAACAATCAGAGTAATAGTAAATTCCAGGGACATAGATTAAATAAGTTAATCAACAAATAGACAAAGGGCTTATAGCCTTATATGTACTATTTTTCATAGCAACATCGACAATAGCTAATTAGTTATTCCATACTTCAAATAGACAATGAATGGAATAAGAAGTTAAGTAATACCCACATCCTTGACAACCACAGCATCACGTATCAAGCTATAGCCAATTTGATCAACATATGTTCGTGTCATTCGACATGCAGAAATTAATGCTTGGAGCTCAAACTTGAATATAGCTGGAAATATTAAAATATAAAAAAAGTCATTTAGGCAACTCAGAGCCTGTGTTTTCCATATAAATCATGACTATACCACCTGATCTTCAAGAACATGCATAAAATGTTACTGAAAGTTTCTATGATATATAAGCACAAACTCAATTTTTAGCACACAATGCCGAGGACAACTTCTCAGATATAGAAAATGTTGTGCTTGTCCCAGGACATGGCAGGAGGCTTTAAATGTATGAACAGTGAAGACAGTGAATTTATCTAAAATAATCGTTTAAGAAATTAGTCCCCACCAACCAAAGCTGAAAAAAATCCTGATAGGTCTCAACTGGAAAAAAGTATATAAATGAATAATAACTCTCACCTTTCAAGTTTATTATGTATGATTGAGTTAGACCTATAACTTATTATTCTAAATTAGTATGAGATTATTCACTATTATCAAACTCAATAATCTTTAAACTTAAGGGGACCAACTATTGATAAGAAAATAATATAGATAACTTTCATCTTAAAGTCCCACATTAACTAGAAATAAGGTAATTAAAAAGAATATATAAGTAGAAGACAACTATCATCTTACAAGTTTCACATCAACTAGAGATAAAGTAATTATTTATTTGTACTCATCTTACAAGTCCCACATCGACTATAAAGTAAAAAATGTCACAAAAAGATATATTTTTTTCGACCATTATAAGGGTTTTTACCAGCATTTAGAATAATTGCAGCTAAATATTTTAGCGACACTGCATACAATGACTAATATGAAAATGTCGATAAAAGATTTTGTAGTAATTTTTATTGCCACTAAAAGTTATATTAAATGTCACTAAAAATCTATTTTGTTGTAGTGTTATGAAATTAAGGATGGACTAATTTACAGCTAGTGCTATAATGAACTACCCAAATTTGTATTTAGTATTTAGTGATGTTTTTTTTTTTCTAACCAACACTTGCGTTAGCTTTGTATTTATATGGAAAATGATGGGTGAATACTTAAACTCTGGCTAGTAGATACTTAGAGAGAGAAAATAATCAAAGAAATGCAAGTATAATAGGTAACCTATGTAACAAATATATGTAACAGAAATATATATATATATATATATA